AAGTAGGTCAAACTACAAGTCAAAGCATCAAAGTTATTGGTATCCAACGAAGGGTATTCTCACAAGGATTAAATATGTGAAGTATGAGATTACTGGCCCTTAGCGTTCAAAAGATATAGCGAAGGTTAAAGTTTTGTCATAAGTATTAAAATATCAATATCTAAGGTCAAAATGTCAAAGTAATTGGTATCAAAAGAAGGTCTTGCCACGAATAAAATACACATGTAAAGAATGACAAAGTTATGACAACGTTAAAAATATCAAATAGTAGGTCAAACTTCAAGGTCAAAGGGACAAATGTCTTGCTTTCAAGGGAAAAGACTTTTCACAAAGATGTAATACGTAAATTATGAAAGCACCAGTCCGTACTTTTTAAAAGTTAGGGTCAAGGTTTGGTTTTTAAAAGTAGGTCAAACTCCAAGGTCAAGGTCAAAGAGTCAAAGTTCTTGGTAACCAATGAAAGATCTTCTCACAAGTATTGCATACATGAAGTATAAAAGCCCTGTCCCTTAGCGTTCAAATTTATCGCCAAGGTTAAAATTTTTCCATAAGTATGGCATTCTCTAAGGTCAAGCTCAAAAGGTCAAGGTTGTTCAAATCCAATGAAAATCTTTCCAAAAAAAATACATATTTGAAGTGTAAATGTCCTGGTATTTATATGTACTGTTTCAAAGATATGGCCAAAGTGAAAGTTGGGATTTTTTGTGTAAAGTGGGTCAAACCCCAAAGTCAAGGTCAAAAGTTTTAATTTGGTAGAAGCCAAGGAAAGGTCTAGTCATAAGAAATACACGTGTTGAATATGAATATCATAGCTCCACTAAATCAAAAGTAATAGGAAAGGTTAAAGTTTTTTTGCGGACAAAGAGACAGCTAACTGACTGACGGACATTACAAAAACTATATACCCACGAAATTTCGTTTACGGGGGCATAAAAAGAAATATAAGAATAACAGAAACTATACCTTATATGAATAAGAGCAAAGCTTGTTGCTACGCTACGAGTAGGTCTTCCGTCCTGTTTGACCGTAGTACATTTTGTGGGAAAAAGTACCTCTCCAATGACTTAAATAAACTGTATCCGCGTTGATTATTGCAGAATTATGACATTTCTGGCTTTTCCAGTTCTACCGGAAGTATGTCGATGGACAGAAAATTAAGTTTATGCTTCCAGCGACAAACATTATGAAAAAACGTGTCAATAACGGCAAAAAAACATTATCTGACTTATCGGTTCATCGGAAGTGGCGCCAACCGACGTTATTTGACGATATCAATAGCTAGAGTTTGATTAACATGGCTTCTTTGATGTATTACAAATTCTCAATGGGTCTTGAGATATCTGGAAAAACTTTCAATACCTCTAGATCCCCTAATGTAGGGGCTATCTCCTGTACTGAGATATCACTTGAAAGATCTTGTTACTCTGCAAAAATTTTGCTAAATCTCTCAATCCATCTCCAAGAAATCTTCTGCACAGAATCTTCAAGATGAAGAAAAATGATTAAAAAAGTAAAAAAAAAAAAAGAAGCAAAAGAATAATAGAAAGGTTTTCCGCTAAAGATTGTGACCTTAAAGATAGTATAAAAGAACCCAAAGATAACAGGAAAGTCTTTCGCTGAAGACATCAGAATCAGTATAAGGTCTTCCGTTGAAAACAAGGTTGTTATAAGGAAAAGGGATTTACGAAGTCCTTACTTTCATAAAAACTGTAAAAGGCCACGTGACATATTTTTTACCGTTAACTGCTTTTAGTATATACAAAAAGCGTATACAGGACTCGTTAAAGCCGCTTAATCCGAAACAGGCACATATTATCTTACAAAATAAAGTACGTCATTATTAAGATTACATAATATATAGATAAATTATAAGATTGATTTTATAGTTTATTACAACAATCCTGACATGGAAAGTTAACGCAGATCAAAAACATTATTGACAAATAATAGTTCCTGACGGAAGTTAAGATCTGTTGTGAAGTCAATTTAAAAAAAATAACTTTATTGGTTATATCTAATAATGAAGATAATTCAAACGCGAGTAAATTTTTGCATAAGTAAAGCATTAGTCATAATGCATCTTTTAATTAAAATTAAGAAATAAATCAATATAACCCATAGCAATTTTTATATTCATATGCATATTTAAATGATAAAGGAAAATCAGATATTTTAAAGATTTTTTTAAAGGAGCTAAAATAGTATATATGTGCTTTGTTGTGAAAAAATGATCGGGTTTGTTCTTCATGAGAAAAACATGTACGCTATAAATTTTATTTTTCTAAGGTGGTTTCATATAAACATAGGATTATTTTTTGTGTGACCCAACAAAAATTAATTTGTTTTTACTTTTGAATTTTGATATCTTTTAAAAGACTTTGAGGATATAATTTGACGAAAGTTTAAACAATTTCTGGACAATTAAGTTTCAAAAAGAAAAACGAATATATATTTTTAGCGATTAGAATCGAACCAAGCAGCTTTAACATCATTTCCCGACGATAGTTGAAAATTTGTAAACACTGCATCTAGTGAGTGCTGTTTTTATTAAATGATACAAATTACTTCATCTTACATTGAGAATTGAACGCATTTATTCTGCGCGGTCAATATCTTTTTTTAATATCACCCGTCGTCAAACAATGTTGAATGCTGCTATGCTGGAGGACGTGGTTTCATTTTTCAGCGGACGATACTTTTTTAACAAATGTTTCTTGGCGTGTCAGATTCAACAAATTTACATTAAAAACATCATAAAAGTATGCTCATTTATTCGCTAATGCAGTTATCTTTTTTAGTAGTGGATTAGACTATGCATATATTGTTTGTGTACTTTACAAAGTGGAATCATTATTTTAGTGGCGTTGGCTCGGAAAGCAGTGATCTGATTAATGAATAGGCTAAAAAATACATGGCAAATTTAATTTTAAGGAAATTTACGTATCGTCTTGATCAACCAATTACAAATAAAATGTACTCTACTTTAAATTATGATATACGAAGACCCAGGAAAGTATACAAAACAGTTTCATTTTAAAACACCATTATATTCTTTTTTTAAGAACATGTCATTTATTTGGATAATAATTTTAGTAATAAAGGACCAATGAAGTAGTCTAATTGTTCAAACTCTTTCCTTTAATTAGGAAGAATGAGGGGTTTCAATCAAGTCGTTTCCCATGGTCAAACTGATGAATACCAAAACAAATCCTTCAATAAAGCCAACGGTACGTATCAAGAGAGAGAGAGAGAGAGAGAGAGAGAGAGAGAGAGAGAGAGAGAGAGAGAGAGAGAGAGAGAGAGAGAGAGTTTCTAAGCTATGATTTTAATTACGTATAACATGCCACAAGAGAAAATTTAATTATATTGTTTTCACAATTCTGTTCATCTCAGCAATATATATAAAATGCTCTGTTTTCTATCACACTATATTAAACCATTTATAAGTATGTTTTTCCTGAAAATCTAGCAGTCTTTCAGAACAAACACGAGGGCTGTCCCATAATTCCGTAGACAAGCGTTGTTTTGTAGGAACCCTATGTCTTACATTAATGAAACTTCGGATATCGACTTAAACAACACTATCTAATAAATTTATGGACAAATATGGAGTAACTACACAAATTATTCCAATTTAAAAGCCACATTTCATTGTCTTGTGTACGAAGGCGGCGCAATACCCAAAAGTTGAAATTTAAACTTAATATATCATATTTTAAATCATTCGGAAAAGTAATTATTTCCCTGTACATGTATTTTTTTTTTAAATTGAAATGGAATTATTAAAACTGCCTTGTTAACTACATTTCCTAAAAGTTTGGTGCTCCTGCTTTGATAAATATAAATTTTATAACGTTTTTCATAAAAAAGATGTTGTTGAAATCCGACATTTTGAAAAATGGCGGCTGCGTTGGCAAAGGCGGCGCACTGGACTATGATCAAGTGTTTTGATCCCAAATTCACTCTTACAGAAATGTACCAGTCATAAATGTTTGGATGATTAGGAAAGATTCTATAGTCTTTAGTATTTTAAATGACTAAAGCGGTTTCTCTATGTACATGTGAATAACAGTAACTAAAATAAAAGACAGGGCTAAGAAATGAACTAAAATTCCACTGTGCAACGCCATTACAGAAAACAGACGTAAAGCCCGTAGAAATATAGCGTTTTGAAATTATTATTATTATTATTTCATACCTATACATGTATATACTTTGTTTACCTATTTTAATGTTTGATCATATTATAGTAATTAAGATATTTCACATTTATAACTATATACGTTTCGTTTATTTTAAGAATTTACTTCTGGTATTTGAAATATTTTCTCAAAAAAATTGAACCATTGACATTTGTATTTTTTTGACATTGCAGATTGCTCCGTGTGTTAGGGAACAATGTCACTTTAAATGTTATTACTCGAAAAGTTTTCAAGTAAACACGATAAAACTTCGTAGTTTATCTGCACTTTATCCACCCAGAAATTTGAGGAAGATACATTAATCTATTTAAAAGATATGAGCTCGGTATACAAAATTTTGTGACAACCCTCGTAATTTGAATTATATTTCTGAAAATTTGTTCGAAAAGTTTTTATGCGAAGGAAATATGAAACGGATTAATCCCTCAAAATCAATTTTAGTCCATTTACGTAAATTCTGGAAATGAAGACTAAAATAAATTAAGATGTGCATGTTTTCTAAGAAAAAAGCTTTAATTTTAGGTGCTTTCTATCATTTAGGACTAGTTTTTCACATATTGTTTAATACTATAAAATATCTTTATTATTTACACTGTGTTAAGTATATAGACATGGTATTGAAACATATTTTAGATGATTTTTTGTTCTGAATTGACTAATATTGTTCTAAATGTCTTCTATAAAGTTTAGTCATTCCACATAGAGCGATCTAAATAAAATGCATGAATTTAAGAATGAAAATAAGTTTATGCATTTTTTTCAGTAAAGGGTTGTTTAAAACCATCTGCGGGAGATTTTATGGAAAAAGAAATAAGGATTGTGTTAATTGGAAAAACTGGAAGCGGGAAAAGTGCTTCAGGGAACACAATTCTTGGAGAGAAATTGTTTGAATCTAGCATTTCCGGGTCATCAGTTACAAGTGTATGTTCACAAAAGCATGCTGTCAGATTTGATAAAAAAATTCTAGTCGTCGATACTCCTGGAATATTTGATACTAGACATTCAGTGGACAAAATTCAAAACGAAATAGTTAAATGCATCACCATTACATCACCAGGCCCTCATGCATTCATTCTGGTTTTATCTTTAACCAGATACACAGAAGAAGAACACAAATCCGTCATGCACTTCGTCAAACATTTTGGTGAAGACATATACACATATTTTATTATTTTATTTACTCGCAAAGATGATTTAGATGACGAAGGAATAAGTTTATTAGAGCATATAAGAACAGTTCCACCAGAGCTTACCCAATTTATTCAGAAATGCGGCGGGAGAGTAATGGCATTTAACAATAAACTGAAGGGCGAAGAAAAGGATGCACAGGTTGTGGAGCTATTGTCAATGATTTTAGACAACGTGAAACGAAACGAGGGTAAATGTTACACAGACAAGATGTACTCAGAAGCTGAAAAACTTATCAGGAAGAGGGAAGAAGAAGACCTTCGAAAGGCTAAAGAGAAACGAGAAAAAGAAGTACAGGCCATAGAAAGTAGGCTGGCGGATAAATACAACAAACAAATACAAGCGGAACAACGAAAAAATCAGGAAACACTATCCGCACTAAACGAACTAAGGCAAGAGCAAAATAATAAAAAGAGTGAATCGATTTTTTTACAGCAACAGATAGAAGATTTAAAAAAGCAACTGAATGAAAGCAAAGGAAAAGAAGAAAGTAAGGAAATGACACAAATTTTGAAAATGTTGCAGAATGAATTAGCCGATAAAAAAGAAAATGTAGAAAGGAGTGCAAAGAGAATTAGCGAGTTAGAGAAGTCCAAAGAGACGGAAGAAAAAAAATTAACAGATCTGCAAAAAGAACATGAATCGGATAAAAGAAAATTGAAAGAAGACACAGAAAAAGAACTACTCAAAGTAAAGGAAAGCGCGCGGGACAAAATAAGAGAAGAAGTTGAGAAAGAGAAAGGCTTTTTCAGTTTAGCTAAAGATTTGATTGTTTGTGGGTTAAAAAAACTGAATCCTTTCAACTGGTTTAAATGAACCAAGAAGCTAGAGTTCAAACGCTGTTATACGAAAAACGATTATTTTCATAATAATAGAATAACTTTCTTGTATTTAAGGTCATTCCATCTTCATGTTTTATGGTTTAAAGTAAAAAACAAAATGTATTCATTTTCATTCAATAAAGTTTAAGTTCACCAATTATTGCCATAAATGTATAGGTCGCCATATTATTTAACATGGGAGACGTAAATAAACAAAAGCATATATGTCAACATGAAAAATCGTACATTTTTGGTCAACAGTATCATAAATATCATGTAAAAACAAATTTAAATGCATATTTCTGGTGCTGATAGTTTCTTATACTTGCTACATAGAAGATACTTATGAGACGTGAATAGCATGGAAACTATTTCACATTAAGAAGTAAAATAACGAAAATTCCTGAATGAAGGTACCTGAGCAGGAGTTATTGCCCTTGTGAAAAATTTTTGCAATTGAAAAATTGATTAACCCTTTCGCTGCCCACATAAATTTTTTGAATTGCCAAAAAACTTAACGTCACACGTAAATGACGTATTTTTTAAAAAAAAAATTAAAATGGTCTGATACAAAGATTTTTTATTCGTTTTTGTAATTAAATAACGTACTGATTGATAATTTGGTAAATTAACAGTGAAGTATATATAGCGGAAAATGGATGTATTATAACCATTAAAATTATTTCAGAATATGAGTTGGTAATCATTTTATTTTGCTTACTGGTATGTAGTTACAATGAACGGAAGATAAATATATTGTTTTTTTAAAAAGTACATTGTACTCTGAACGCTTTCTTTATGAATAAAAAACTAAATCAAATCTCGCGTTCTTTTTTTTCGTTTTTGCTATATCTTGTTTTTTGTTTTAATTCAAATACTTTTTTGTCTTCCTGACACGTCAAACCTTTACTCTACTAGATATATGAAATGAAAAATCAAATGTGTCAAAGACATTTTTCATTACATACTTTTTTAAATAATTGTTTTCTAGTACATGTACGATTTTTGAAAACTGAGAGTCGGAAACAGAATGTTACTTAATTTGTATGCCTCTATTCTTTCCCAAGTAAATCGTGAATGATTTACCTGAACCCTTTATTTTCAATCTATATAGAGTACATATTAAACGTAAATGAATATTGTTGAGATATAGGTTAGACACTTTAAGATCTTGAATAAAGGAAGGAAACAAAAATAAACACCCCCCCCCCCCCCAAAATAAACAAAATTAAATAAACAAAAAAAACCCAAATTTTTACAACAAAAACAAATAAAAAAAATATATAGAAATGAAATGTCTATCAGCAACACGTCCTGGAGAGTGTCCTTTATTTCGTATTAATTTAGTCACAACACCCTTGCTGAATATTTGAGTTCTGCTTTTGAATTTTCTCTTGTATAAAAGTATTTCTTCTTTCACAAAACAAATAGTATAAAATTTCACAAATAACACATATTTTAGTGTTTTTAAAATTTCACAATGCCGTCTGGATTAACTTTGGATTAAATTGATATTATTTCAAAAACGTGAATTCTTAATTCAATATCACCACATAACCTGAAATTGCTGGTCCAAAGGTGTTGCCGCACTTTGTCGTACTCTTTCTCACACTTGCGGTTGTAATTGCTAGACAAATACAACACTCTCCCTCTAGTCTGGACTGGCTATTGTCAATGTAATACGGTAAGCTGTGGTACCCAGCCCAAGACTTGATAATTATGAAACGGGACAAAAGCCCGAGGAAATAGTACCCTAGGGAAAAATATAATAAAACAACCATTATACTAAACGTGTAGACTCAAACAAGAAAACGTATTTCACAAATTGTATTTTCAATTACATGTACCTGATGTTTGAGAACCCGCCCCGGCTACTTCAACACAAACACAACAAGCCAAACAGGTTTAATCTCAGCTGTGACTTCCCGGTTACTACCCGAACGCGAACTCTCAGGTAGATAAAATTACAAATCGGTGGGCTCCAAACAGGATCAAGAACAATTTTACATTTACATAATTGGGGTTTCTTAAAGGATTATATTAAATTTGTTACAAACCTCCCCCTTTTGAAGACTAAACCACTATTTAGTCCAATCTAAAACTAAATAACATAAAAATCAACCATATATACAAGCTCGAAATATTCACCATTGACCTTAATTTACACTAACTCTTCACTGGACCTTTACAACGCATCGGCAATTACGTTCTGCTTACCCGGAACATACCGAACAGCAAAACAAAATTCCTGCAATAGAAGATTCCATCTCAAAAGCCTCTGATTTGACAGTTTTGATCTCTGTAACCATGTCAATGGAGCATGGTCAGTTTCAATATCTAACTGCTTACCATATACTCGGAGGGTTTTGACAGCCTAAATAATGGCATAACATTCTTTTTCGATCACAGCATAGTTTTTCTTAGCTGCAGTAAACTTTTTACTCCAAAAGAATATTGGGTGCTTACCAGTGTCGAATTCTTGTTCAAGGACGGCGTCTGCTCCAGTAGCACTTGCATCTGTACGCAAGACAAACATACGACTGAAATCTGTGCAATACTGGTTCACATGTCAACTTACCTTTAAATTCCTTGAATCCTTGAAAAAATATTTGGCTGCCCTCTCTCTCGACCTACTCCCTAGAAATGGCCCGAGTCAATTTTTTTTTTACATCCCATTACACGATATTTGTGTTTGTTTTCCGTCAACAAATATGTTTCAATTTTAAGAGGGGAAATTTTCAAAACTTTGCAATTTCTTTCATGGCCACTTGCTCTTAATTTTTAGGAATTAAAACCAATACCTTTATATGCTTATTTTTACACAGGAGCACGCGCAAAAACTGTGTGAAATGCTAAAAATAGATATTTCTGAACATTATTGTTCTATCCAATGTTCTGCTAAAAAGAATCAAAAAAATTCAAATCACATTCAAAATCAACAGGTATCAGACCTGTATCTTTAAAATGAAGGCAAAATCATTGTAATTCATCCCACATGAAAAATTATAATGGAGCACAAAGTAAGAGTGACCCCATTTTTCTAGTCGTATATTTTACAATTTCGACATGCATAAAAGGTACGTTCAACACATGAAATGACAAATATAATAGATATAGCCATAAATTTTCTATTTTATTATGAAATGCTTTGAAACTAATAATGTGGGGATATAATAGCAGTATAGACATGGTGACATGGTCAAAATAGCAAGATCCCACGCGAATGGAGGTGCACTTTGCTCTGATTGGCTGAAACTAAAGTATCAATATCTTCCTTGTTTTTTGACAAAATCCTTTGAAATTTTTAACATATTCATACACTCTGAAGATCTACATCATGAAATATAAGAATTATCATGAAAGTATGCGCATGCAAGTGTGATGCAATCTGATTAACTGAAACTTAAAAAGTCTATAACTTTCTTACTTCTCATCAAAACGGGATGAAGTTAATTATATGAATTAGTATAATGAATTCCCAAATTATGCTATAATCAGATGTTAATGCAAGGACATGCATGCATAAACGTACGTGCGCGAAACACGCAAAATGAAAAAAAATATATTGTGTTCATCTTGCATATAAATGCATGTGCGTGCGCATGCAATGCGTTAAATAACATATAGTTGATATCATTGTAGCTTTTTATTATTCTTTTATGAGATTTTTCGATAGGGAGCATATTTACTTCTTTTTAAAGTCTTAAGGAAATAAGCACAAAAAGGGAGTTTGGGAGCGTTTGGTGAACATCTGAAACGGTCCCCGTTACAATTAACTTAAGTTTTCTTTGTGTTTCATTGGTGATAATTAAGATTTTTAAAATACTTTTTTTCTAACCAGTGTTGCACGTCCTATGTTGCCTTTTTTGACATTGGTCACACTGAACAGCCTCGTGATCCTTTCGAGGGCGAACAATTTGGTTGTATTGCTTGCATTGTCTGTAAAAATATATATAATATAAAAATAATGCTGATCTATTTGGACAAATTTCCTACACTTGTTTAAATTCGAAACATACAAAAAATGATACAGGGTATTTACACCCGTTACGTTATATCCCCATAGGATTATACTTAATAATCTTATTATTCTCTGGAATCGAAATCAGAATCAGTTTAATTCGCTCAAACCATACAACATGGAGCATGAGGAACATAAAGTTAAAACAATGTTTACATGTATTAAATCATCAGACCTACATGTAATATATAAATACATTATATATACACATTTATTATCATAACTGGATGTAAAGAGGATATACATATAGTATAATAACATACCAGGTAGTATATGTATTCAATGCAAAGCGAAAACACCAGGAGGACAATTAAGAATGAGAGACAGTCCTAAATATTTTTTTAAATAAATGTACAGTTTTCTTAAAGATTTAATATTTGAATTTGCCATAAGTTCATAAAACTTTACAACATGTGGTCTATTGCAATAAGTGTGCAATGTAACTTTTCCCTTATCACACAAGTGTCTGGTACCTTAACTTTTTTTAATAAAGATTAAAATAGCAATTTTTCAATAACAAAATCTTTGCAAATTTTATACTTTGTCCGCAGGAGAAACATACAATGCATCGTCTGTGCTTAAGCTTTTTGACTTATCATCATGATCCATATATTTATCAATAACACAATATGAAGAGTACGTAATTATGATTATAATTTTACTTCAATATTTTTTTTTCTAAAGGCAGCAGGCTTGGTAGGAATCTACATGAGGTCGTGTAATTTGGGTTATAAACGCACAACATCGTGTTAAATGACCAAACGTATTTTTTTTTACCAAGAGAACACTATTAGTAGATGATGAATTATCTTACGCCAATATGTTACAAATATAATGATAACAAAAAATGTATAATACATTTAAGGTTTTTTGTGCTATTTATCAAATTATACTTTTCAACGATTTGGAACTTAAATATCCCCACGTTTCTTAGGTTAAAGTGATGTGTCTGACATTTAGTGCCGAGCTGGAAA